GCGTACTTTACCCTGGCTGCCCCCTTCCATAGTGTTCCCAGGCATCACCAGCCGTGGCAGCTTTCCCGATCTTTTGACACAGGATATGCCTCCTGAGCGTCGGACTGTAGAATGTTGTATGGCCACGATAACACGCTCTGTCGGCAGCATTATTCTTCAGTCAGGTTCACACGTAACATAGCCATTGCGAACACTTTTTCTCAGTAGAGCCTCGGACAACGCAGCTCGTCGATCTTTCAAATGACTTCATTATACCTAGGTCACATTGAGATAAAGGGCGTCACCCTTGACACAGGGCTCTGCGGGATATCCCTAACCATTCTCCATGTTTTAGGGATCTATCATAGGATGCCAAGCCACGATCTGCGCGCTTAGAAACGCTGTGGTTAACCCGGGCTCAACGGGAAGGTGATCCCAGCTTCTACGGATCTTTTCGATAGTGAATAGCTGTGCAGGAGCATCTGCGCCGCGTTTTTTTTTCCAAGTAGAGAACGACTACTGATCCGTCAAATAGATCTTCCCGAGTCGTGCGATAAGACCAATGTTCGGTACGGGGTGTTTTGCCCTAGTCGGCACCAATCAGATATGGAGCGCTAATGAGAAAATCAAGTCTTCATTAACATCGGAGAGTCGTTACAAATTGTACAATACTTACGATCGTACATAATGAATACGTGAGCACTTTGCCGAATCCTCAACCAAGGAAGATATGCCGGAAGTATACGATGAGCAACGAGTCACTTGATCAGTGATTTTGTTCCAACGAAATGCCATCTAATTCATGAGGATTTCGAGCATAGCCAAAAGGTTTCAACTGTTTCAATACACAAAATACTCGCGAACCTGTGCGTGAAAACTACGGAACTTCAGAATCAGTTTGAAGTTTGAAACTAAACCTCCGGGACCTGTGTGGAAAGGGGGGGGAAGTCGAGGGGTGTAGGCCGGACCAGAAAGGCATAAGCGGCGAGGAGGGGGAAAAGGGAGCCGTAAGACAGAAAAACCAGCGTCACGCAAGCAGGAGCAAACGGTCAATAATACCCCTGCCCGAGAACAGCGAGTCATATCAATCATCGCAAGTAGATGGCAGAGGAACAAGGTACCGTCTCTGGGGAGAGGCAGCGACGTGCGTCTAACGTTCAGCTTGGTGCGTGATCATCTGCATAACAGTTGGAGATGTCTGTCAGGCGCGTCATTGGCTAATGCAGCAAATATGTACTCGTCAACTAAAGCGACCGCTCTACGGCCATCTTTGTACATCTGATAGTCTTGAAAGCCGGCCTCGCGTCGGTAAGGATGGTCGGATGTTGGAGAGAACAATCGTCCCATGCAGGGTCATCCCGGCGGAAGAATCCAGCAACTTTGCTGACCCTTAGGAAATGGCAATGCATCCCTAGACATTGATTGATAGCTTGCCGCCAAGGACTGGGCACTTCAATTTTCTTGATGTAGTTCCTGTACCTGGCGCTCCCCTCTGAGTTGTCGGCTGCGCACCAAAACACCGACGAAAGTCCTCGCAGCCTAAGGGCATATTCGCCTCAACCTTTCTGTGTAATTGGGATGACTAGACGAGCCATATGCCGTACGCTGCCGGCCCCCGCCCAGGACCTGCATCAGGAGAGCCTTCGACTGAACGCCGGAAGGTCTGGACAAATATCACAATCAGCCAAAACTCGAGTGACCAAAGTATCAGTGACCTACATACCTTCTGATGCCCTGATGCGCAGTAGAATCGTGGAGCTTACTAGGTATCAGCTTCTATCAGCCGCACATCAGCAGTCCGAAGATAGTTTTCTCTCCTCCTTTTTTACAATCGTAAGACGTGCTTGTTGCCATGAGAACGGATCAGCAAGTCTTTCAGCAGGTCTCAAAGCGTACACGCGGACTTAGGTCGAGGAAAAACAGCATTGATCGCCGGGGTAGTACGAACGGACTCACCCTAACACCACCCTTCCGTACCACGAGCAGCGATCGATCGCAATAAAGTTACATGAAGGTTAAGTCACATAAGAAGAAAAGCTCCCGGCTAAAGCAGAAATTTTAAGAAAGGACTGGTTAATCAGTGGCTATTTAGAAATTGCAATTCGAGAACTTCTCACAAGTACCGTGCCAAGCGCTTATCCCAAGGTGGAAAAGTAAATATGATGATGAGGAAGGTTCCTTGAAGAGACAGGTGCGATAACGAGATTGATGGATTTCAGCAGACTGACACTGGCGATGCCTCTGATAGTTAAGTGGTTGTGCTTACACGTGATCACGACGCGTCGCACGTCCACGAGCGGCATAAAGCCACTATAATTAAGCGACTCAGAGATGCGTATGGATCGTCTGAAGATGCTCATATAAGAAACGGCTGAAACGTTTGATATTTCTGTATCCATAGATACTCCGTGTGTAAAAATGGCTGCGCTATGTTTAGACGGAGCTACACGATACATATAGCACACATACTTGGGATATCCGGGATTGACGACCGAGGATCAAAGTTGCTAAATCAAGCATAGAAAATGTCGATGAAGTGGTCTCTAAAGGCGCTCTACGTCAAATTGGTAAGAGTATTTGGGTGTTAGAACTTGTAGCACATCAATTTAGAAGAGAAATTGCTTCCTCCCGGAGTCGGATGCTGTCTCGTGCTGAAAGATCGAGATTTTTGTCATAACAATCCTGCAATTGGACAATCACTGCATCTCGGAATGTATGACTTCACATATAGGCAAGGAGCATGACGACCGTCCAATAGTCGAATTCAATGATCATGCAGCGGGTAGATAAGAGAACGAAGGCTGTTCTTAGGTTATGCGCATGAAGCATTCGTCGTTATTGTTGAAGATGCGTTGGTATGATCACGGCAGAACTCGGACCGGACTGGCGTTAAAACTCCCACGCCGCCAGCTGTGAGTATCACCATTGCTCACCGTCTTTGTGGTTGTCTCGTATAATAACGACCACGACATTTTAGTGCAAAATTCACTTGAGGCTCGCTCGAATATCGCAAAAACTTCGGCAGTTCGCTTACCCTAACGAAAACCTCCTGACGACGCCCAAGTAGTACTACTGCTTGCCGACTGTTCTACTTTTTAATCCTTGTATTTTTTCTTGCGGCCGCCTTCACACTCGAAAGAAAACTCTTAAGCTGGTGGCGGTGGCGGGTCCGCCCCGCAAACCTACTTCAAACACTTGGAGCACACAGCGGGATTTCTTATTGTTGTTTCATCCGTCGTTTACGTCTCAGTCATAAGGTACGATTCTATGGATACCAGAACCTGAAGCGATGAAAAAAAAAATTGCGGACACTTCCGCTGGTTTTTCACGGCGGTGAGAATATTGAGAATTGGGGTTGGGGCACACATCCGGTTTCCGGTAACTGCCTATGCTGTAGGTAATAAATAAATAGATGGCCGTGATTCATAGTACAATGGGGTACGTCTTTCAACTTCGTTCCTCGTATTATTTCTTCTTACATATTCTTATCGACTAACGAGTTTAGGTGGGCCTGCCGGACCAGCTGATCCAGTCATATCCTCGGAGCTATCATATCTGTTTTTCCTGAATGCTTCTACTGTCGGTGGGACTGCACTTGATAACTACATCGCTTGCCATGTCAAGCGCGCTCACTTCTGCTCCTAGAAGGCGGAAAGTAACGAGCTGTTCGATGATCTCTGCGGAGACACCCTTACAGCCTGAGCCGGCGACCTTTGAAAGTCCTCCGTCTTGAATTAACAGTCGCTACGGCTCAGTACATGAATCTGGGACGATAGCCGGAACTCTATGGGTGACACGCTTCTATGCCCATCTTCGTAATTGTGCTCCAATACAGACCTATAACCGTGAACTACTATCTAAAAACACTTTCTGGAGTCCTCTGCGGACGGCATGGAAGAGACGGCTATTCTGACCTTCACCTCCGTCGAACTTCGTGACATGGAAGATGAGTATATAACCTTCTGTTGCTTCCCACCACTGACAGATCGTGCAGGCTTCATTCTGGTTGGCTCTAGTGACATCTTCGGTATCTATCGTACTGAAATGCCATTCCATCTATCGTCACTGATATCACGGCGGGATCCGACCATCGTGATTTGAATCGTGCATCGAGACAGCTCTATAATACTTGCAAACGGGTGCCGCTGTACGATCTGACCGTGGCCCACACAACCTAAAAAGTGTGTCCCTTGATCCCCTTTCCTCTTGCTCCATTGTCAAGCCGCAAAGTAGCATTGTACGCCGTCGGCACCAACAGCTAGTGGCGTACAGGGTAATGACACTCCATGCTTAGTCCACCTTCTAGTTTATATCGTCCCATTATCTGCTGTATTCGTGAAGTTCAGTGCCGACAGAAGAAGTGAAACTTTGAGCGTGTGTAGAAATTTCTGTATATATAGTGTGTGTCTTGTTTTGGTTGTATGTAGTCTCTCATAGACCACGACATATATACATGTATCCTACTAAGTTCCCTGGAGGAAATCTGGGACTCTGGAAACATGGTGAGCCTGCAGAAAACCCATCGTGATGAATCTTCTTGGCTTATTGGGCTCCTTACAATTTACGAAGAATGTTTTGGACATTGATAACACAACACCTGCTAGGTTCTAACTTCCAGTACACCGGTGACCGCTCCGGTTTAGTTTCCCGATGCCCGATGAGTTAAGCTTTAATCTTCAAAGCCCCTCCCGCTTAGCGCTAACCTTGCGTACGAAATCCTAGGTTTTGATACGCCACGGTTTCGGACCGGTAAGCTATCACATCACAATCATACTAAATTATATTAAAATATTGAATTTACGGTCCATTTACAATGTACAACGAAGCGAATTTACTCAGGAGGAGGCAGCGTCTGAAAACTCTGTAATAAATCAAGGATTAACATACGGAGAAGATGAAGATTCTCCAAAAGACTTAATTATTGCAAAAAGGCACTCAGTCATGTGATAGTATCGCGTGATATGCTGAGTACTACCTCCGCTTAATCCCGAAGCCCGGGGAGTCCCGGTCGAAAAAGCACGTGACCCCTAAGCGAGTTGAACGCTTGACCTTGTGGACATCCGGATCTGCAGTTCAAATCGCTCTGGAATCACACGCTCTACCACTGAGCTAAGGGGTCTTACCAATGGAGTGTACTTTAACGTAATTGAGGTTGTAAGACGCTTTGGATCAGTACATAACTAATCATGTACAACTCCGGAATCTACTTGCTTGGAAACCTGGATTGATTTGTAGATAGTGAACAAATGAAAGTTACCATGGCAATGATGACGAAGCTAAAATGCTAGAAAACATAAGGTACAATATCAACACATAATAACTAGTACATTCTACAATTATTCTATTACGGTAGACGGCAAGAGAGGTGCTTAATTTTCTTCGAAGAGGGAACCGGAGAATGAGGAAATCTTGGAGTCCGTGCCTCATCGACTCCTGAGTCCATAATAAGCACCTAACTACTACTAATATAGATAAAATATAAGTATGGAGGCGGCTAGTGAACACATGCAGATTCAATGCGCCGACGTTTGGTCAATTCTCGACCAATACTTGGCAACGTACTGGTAAAGCAGCATTCCATTGTTTCATGAATTCTCCGCCTTAACTTGATGAAGCACTCTACTCAGCTCCAAGGGCCTAAGGGTTGTTTCGGAGGCCTGCCGCCCTAGAACTCTGCCTTCACGGTCAAAAGAATCGTGGACCCAGTAAGAAGGACCTGGGATGGCCACAGGTTTTTGGAGCTGTTCGTGCATACTCTTCCCGATACACCATACGGCGTACGATCCTTGTCTATATCACAAAAGATATCAGTGTGGTTGAGAAGCAGATTGGGCTCGGAGCATACATTTGAGTAGCCATGAGAACGGAGATAAGTAGAACCAGCATGACGCTGAGGGCGACGTCGATTTTGTGGTGGAATTTGGCTAGCTTGATGCCCCACCAGATAAGCAAGTAGATTTCTGATGCAATCTTACAGATACTTTGATACTTCATTAGCCTAAACATCGTTATTCTAGAAGGGTTTACTTACAACGATTGTACCGCAGCGAACTTCAAAAATGGTGCCACAACATGCTTCGGAAATCGTAGACGGTAGAGTATGAGACCGACGAACACAGATTGCTCAGTTGTAGCCTGGAATAGCCAGATGAGTCCGGCAGATGCTATGGCCGGATGAAGCGCCATCTGAAGTGCTATTTGGATGAATATGGTTGCAAACAAAGTCTAGATGTACGAAATGAGAATTTAGTGAACATCTCGGAAGAAGTGACAAAGCTCGAAACCTACGCAGAAATGATGAACAAGCAATGTCCATCGCATGCTCGGACGGAACACCATTTCATATATGTCTGTTCAGACGAATAAAATATCACGATTGAGATAAAGTCTGCGGGACTCACACAAGCCAGAGATGATGACGGCAGCCATACGAGCTTCACCTATGCGATCCCATGTGTAGTATCCACCTAACATGGGTGATGCTACAATCTGCAGGATAAACGCGACCGTCGTCCAAAAGGTATTGAGACAATCTAAGAAAGAATGAAAAGCTCAACACAACGCCGCGCCCATATACTTTAGCACCCACAGGTAACGACGTTCCGCCTATTGCCGAATGACAGAGCGGGATATTCTTTGGAAAATCGATCAAGTAGGAGATCTACTCCCTTTCCGTTGGCATATAGAAGGAGCAGGTAAAGGAACGCTGATGTTGAATACTAGAACCACAAAAGATAAGATAAGGTATGTGTTGATGAAATCAGAAGAAACACGTACAAATGCGACTGTGGTGGGATATATGACTTGCATGTCAAATTTCATAAGTTCGACTATGGTGCCATCAGACAGGCCTTCAGTCCCGCCACTGGAAACATTGGCTGCTACAAAGCTCGAAGCAAACGGATATGTAGTGGTTTCCTCGGCATAATTAGCGTTGACTAGATCCAAACAATCACTTAATTCATCCGGGGAAAGAGGCGGGGGTTCACTTACAGCACGTATCTCCCCCGGAAGGACCAAGGCTAGGGCAATGAACGTTGGGTCGAGATGGGACCATGTCCTTGACAAAGTATCTAAGGTTGTTTCAACAATAGCCTTCACACAGAAAAAATGTTCACTGACCGGCAAAACGACTGGTCGAGGCTGTCCATCGTTATGTTTCGTGAAAGTGTCTCGAAGCAGGAATCATACCTAGGATAAAGACCGGTGAGTTGGATATCAAGAAACTATCGAAAATTCTCACGAGTCGTATTGTTGATTTCCACCAGTGCAGTACTCAGTGGCGGCCGTGCAGACATCTGCAGCCATTCTTAAACTCGCCGCGTCGGTCGAGTTACTAGGAGGTATTTCATGAGCGATCTGTTCAGACAGAACAGATGATAGAAACGAAAAGGCCTTGGGGAAATTCCTGATTGTAAGGTCAAAAGCCGATATCAGCAAGTCATCGTCAAAGTTGAGCCACAGGTCGACTTGTAGCGTTGTCGTGAGCGACATTGTCGCATGATACATCGAGAATACGACGCTGGCAGATACAACAGAATGCTGTATTGACAAGGACTCGACGGAGGCGTTTGTGGGGTAGCCTATTATCTGAGTGGTGTTCGCTTGCATGACTATCATAGGTACGCCATATAGAAATTCTGCAAGACAGTTCGTGTAAAATGGACTCAGTATCAGATTAAGAATCAACACCTACCCGTATTGTTCTCGATGCCGTTCAACGCTGTAACATGGATTAGACTAGGGAGCAGACCGGCGACCATAGAAACACGTACTCATCATCATATTAACTCGGCCAACGACGTCTGGTGACAGCGCTGAGTTGTTTACTGAAACTACTGCGGACGAAGGCTGGAGTAACCTGAATATTACATTAGATCGCTGAGACTTGAGTACACGCGAAGTCACATACCCAACGATAAAATCCTCAAAGGCATCGAATAACTCTGCAGGCTGGCGAGCATCTGTGCACAGAACGAGGGTGGTCAACACAAAAAAGTATGCAATAAGCATGGTAGGATGGATGGAGACACGATTTTCAGAAGGAAATGGATGCACCCAGTGCGTGGCGTACTGAAGTCACTCAGTACTTCCTTGATCGCTTACACACTGAGGAGGGAAGTAACACAACCAGATCATAGAGTAAACCGACCTATAAAACATGGTGCTGAGACGGTTAGCTTTTGTCGACTGTAACCTTTCTACGCGGTTCTCGGGGACAGAGATCAACAATCTGCAAGGCAACACAAGGACCAGCGACATGTGTCCCACGGCAAACACATTGCACGGGTTTGATGGTCTTTCTATTTCCATCAGGGAAGACGACAAAAGCCCAGTGAAACATCAAGTCGTATGGTTGAAATGTAGATCTATTTGATGAGTAGGCGAGGCTTTGGGTTGGCTGTCATGGATAGACCGACGCCGAAACACACAGCCACGTACGCCGTCTGGGCGCTGGCAGGTACCGGTTGGAGGGGTGGACTGAGCTGGATATACAGCGCTTGTATGGCCTCAGCGGCGCGCCGGAAACCCCTGGATGAGCGCAAGCCTGATTTATGGGATGAATGGAAATTCAAAGACCGTCTTTTGTCATAGCGAGAATGATAGCTTACATTTACATTTCACTTGTTGAGATTCTCATTCATGAGAGTACACCTTCGACTTATTGCGCGACCGGTTAAACCTGCAAGACTGAACTCTTCAAGTTCATCACTGATTCATTCGGCGTGGTATTTTCCAAGTAGCATGTTATGATTGTTAAAAGACAAAAGTGTACACATTCTAGGAGCACAAGTCATGAGTGATACTAGTCTGAAACAATTAAAGAACCCGCGGTCATGGATGGGCGTAAGGATACCTTGAGCCCTTAATGGTACCTCGCACAGGCGCGAACATGTATAAAAATTGCCGAGATATGCTGTAAAGAACGCCAACGAAAGGGCCAGACGCGAACCAGTCTAACGAGGGGATGAAGAACGGAATATACCTGGTCACTGTTTCAGTGCTAGGCACGAAAGGGCTGGGCGGTGCTCGTTGATCGTGATGTTAGCATCGTGGGAAAATATGTCGTGAACTTCATGTTGCGCGAAGCGTGACCTTCCAGTTCTTCGACTCTTAATTTCATCAATCAATCGCAAGGCTAATATTCTGCTTCGATATCTCAGAGGCTGGTATTCAATACTGGCAAGATCGATTCGCCGCTGGGATCAATAATCTCTGCCCGAGGTATTGCATTCGGGAAACGAAATATTTTACAAACACTCACCTTTGTTCAGATATGCCAGTGGAAGGACCTCTGCAACGATATACACGGGCGTCTTGCTCAGTATGTGCGTGCCCCAATCACCACATTCCCATCCACGTATCGAAGGTCGGCGGTAGTCCAACCGAATCCATACCCGATTTCAACCATCTGGAGCGGTCCAACGAACCTCCTCTTCCTGGTGAAACAGAGATCCTGCGATCTATGACTCTCGACTCAGAGGAATCTATTGCCGCTATCAGCAAAGAAATTGAAGAAACGCGTGTTCTGAGGAAGGAACTACTCAAAGATGCGGACCATCTGGCAAGCCAGGCGTCTGTCCTTTGCCATAAACGCCGAGTCCTGCACGAAGGTGTTTGAAACAGGAAGGCTTTGCTTAGTCCTGTGCGCCGCCTGCCGGTAGAGGTTTTGGCGCTAATCTTCCACGAGACTATCGAATTTCCCCGGAAGAGCGTCTACTCACGTAACCTCGACTGGGATGGCTCCGATCTGGAGCGCCCGTTTGAGAATCCGCCCTGGTCCATCGCTTCTGTATCGAGATATTGGCGAGAGACAGCGCTTCTTTTCCCGGAGCTTTGGGCATTCGTCAATATCATACTCACAGACCAACTTTTTGCAGAAGGCCAATATCGATATTTGCGTTTCATTAGCCTCCATTTCTTACGCTCTAGATCCCGTCCACTATCAGTTGCAATATATGACAATGCCGACTCGTCTTTCGAGGAATTACCTCTGACCTTGCTTGGTTCTCTATTTCCGTTTGTCAGTCATATCCATCATCTTCATCTCTACCTTCGTTCAAGTATAATCGCGTCACTTTATCCTCTGCGACCTTCTTATCAACATTTGAGGACGCT